CAATTATTCAGTGTTGCCAGAATATTTTTCTGTTATGTGTTTTACCAGTGACAGTCTGATTATATTCATAGAAAAGCAAAAAAAATTAAAAAAAAGTGTAGCTAATAGGTACACTAATAGACACCCAGCCAAATGAAGGCATACGCACAGGCTGGGAATAAAAGTACCCACTAGCTTTTGCCTTGAGCGCACCAAATATCAGATTTTTTAAAATTGTACTAGACTGGCAACACTGACACACTACACACTCGAAATTCAAAATATTAAGTAGGTATATACCAAAATATTACAGTACAAATTATGCACTGTATGAATTTTATGCGTACAGCGCATGGTGTTTTTTTGTACCGTACCGTAATATTATGGTTTTAGTGTGTATTGGAACAGACCTGTTGTAAACTGAAGCCGGATTGCCATTTGGTTAAAGTGATCAACGATTAGAATCAATATTGGCTTGAGATAGATATGCAATTGGCCTAATATTGGCGATAATTTCAAACTATAATATATTTTTTTTTAATTAGCAAAACAGGTTTAATAGGTGCGCGCAACTATTAACAAAGTAAACTGAAACTGCCGGATTGCCACATGTCTAAAATAATTAACGATTACATTCAATATTGGTTTGAGATATATAGGCAAACAATTGGCCTAATATTGGCAAACATTTCAAAATACATAGCTTTGAATTCTTATTTGTTAATTGACAAAAAAAGATTGTACTTACATTTTATGAAAAAACATCCCTCACTCAAAAGCACAGTTTTCACTAAACAAAATTCGTAGCTTATATTAAAACAAGTATCCGGGAGGCGTCCTGCGTCCATACAGATATGTTAATTAATATTACAAGACTGAGGCCACAGACCATACCCTTTAAAGATGGGCCACTCAACAGTGAAAAATTTTACTCATCTTTCAGCGCCATCCGTAGCAGTTGCAAATAGTTGAGTTAAAAAAAAAGAAAAAAACTAATAATTGAAAATTTGTTCAAGATTTATTATATAGATGGCGGTAGGGGTCAATGAGCGCGGGTTTTTCAAACTCGGCCTTTCTAATAAACCACTACTAAGTTTTCAAAATTATAATTTTTCGTTCTTTTTTACTTAAAATGATTCAAACATTTTATTCTTCACTCAACATACTTAGATGGATATAATCCATTGGGTTATGTTCTGTGATAGATAAAATTTGAAATATTTTAAGTTAAAAAGAAAACGAAAAATTATAATTTTGGATTTGTGGAACAAAAAATACATCTTATTATGAAGTAAAACACGATTATAACCATATATTTTTTATTATTAGAATTAAAATTGCACGAATTCTTATTACAGTACACAATAATAAAGAAATATGAATATAAAACTATTACGAAATTCACCCATGGTTGTATGCACTAGAAGTTGTAACGAAAGTTCCTGGGGAAAATTGGCTCTGGCTGCTGTTGGGTGTACTTGCCACTTCCTATTGCAGTGTTTGCTGATTCGTTTTCATGTAAAAAATGAAGAAGAGTATCAGTTAAAAAATATAAAGTTCAATTTTATTATTTTTGTTTTGAGTCAATTCAGCTGAGCTATTAATTTATTAGCTAGTGAGAATGAATCGGCATTTCTTAAAAATATATCGTAGAAGATTTTTCAATAAAATAAAGGAATTTGAATTTAGTAAGAATGCAACTTTTATTAATTGGAATCAATAAATTGTGAAAATACCTAGGCGAGGTAGGTCACAGTATATGGAGCAAAAAATAATAAGAGTCGCACAATATAAAATATACAATTATTGGTATGTTTGAAAAGTACCTCATTTTGAATTCGGAAAAAAAATTGTATATAGGTATCTAATATAAAGTATCCATTACATATTGTATAATTCTAAAAAAATACTAATAACACTATTTATTTCAATCTTCTTAATATTCACATATTTTATCTAGTTACTGAAATTGTATAGAAAATGATAAAAGTTAGGTTAAGATTTTTAATTTTTCCTAGAAAACATTAGGTTACCCGCATTATTTTGGAAATTTATTTCACAAATTGGGTACTTTTAAGTAATAATATATGCTGTTAAAATTTGGCAAAGTATTTAAGAATAAAATATAAAAAGAAGTTTTTACTTGTAAAGAAATAAAATTGTAAATGTATTCCTTACCTGCGACTAACTTTATCCTGACAATCTGGATCAGCACAAGGACGAATTCGCACCATAATTATATATGTTTAAAGCTTTAAAAATTCTCTTCGAAAAACTAACCTAATAAAACAAATCAAACATTACCATTATTGCCATTAAATAACAACTTGCGTTACTCTGAACCTGCTCTGAATACACTCTGAATCTGCTCGACGAATGCAACGAGCAAACTTTGTGTAAAGTAGCGCCATCTATGGGTGGTGCACAGTACTACAACACGAGTAAGCATTTCCCTATTAAAGATCCCCTAGCCTGACTGAGGCAGTGAGCAGTGAGGCAGGATGGCGCGTGGCTTGACCTGTGATCTCGTGATCACTCACGTGACTTAGGTCGGAGGGGTGGATAAGGTTGTTTCATAACAGCTCTGGTTAAACTGGGACTAGCTGCTAGTTTGTTTTTATACATTTTTGCCTAGTAAAATGTTCGAAACCTAATAATTTTAATACAATAATAATTGTCCAGAACATTTATTTGGTTTGAGTAAAATATTGTGATGTAGTGGTCAAATTCGTAGGTATATATTGATATTAGAATTTATTTGCAAAATTAATACTTTTCTAATATAGGTAGTAGGCATTTATAAAAATTTCCATAAACTAAAAATCAGCTATTTCCATATTAAATTATTACCTTTATATTTTTATAATTTGAATATTTAACTCTTTAGTTGTTCTAAAAAAATGCAAAATTTGACTTCTCGTCTCGTCCCACAACGCATTTTTTAATGGATTATTGAAACAAAATCTCTTTTTTTGCAAACAATTGAACAATTGAATTATTTGTCCAATATGAGATGGAAGAAACTAATTCTCCAACATTGGTACTATCTAAAAAATTTAGTTTAAGACCTTGATAGAAAATCATTAAAAAACTACCATTATATGCTATATTGAACCCACATTGCAAAAAAATGGTAAATTATTTTGGATTAATATTAGAAAAATAGGCGCTGCCAATATGAACATTAAAAAAATATGTTGTGCTGATATTGTTCATATGTTTTAAATCAATATTGTTTTGATATCAGACTGAATTCTGTTGCCAATATAGGCTACTGCTATTTTGTCATCATTAAGAGAACATAGCTCTCTAACATTGGCAATATCAACAAAAAATAGTTTAAACCTAAATAGAAAATCAATAAAAATCCAATAAATTACCATCATTTGCCATATTGCTCCCACATTGGAACAAAAATGATAAATTATATTGGATTAATATAGAAAACATAGGCGTTGCCGATATTAACATTAGAAAAATATGTTGGACTGTTATTAATCCTTTGTTTAGAATCAATATTTTTTTAATATAATATTAAATTCTTTAGCCTACTCCAATATTTACATTATAGACAGAACATAGCTCTCCAACATTGGCACTATGTACTAAACAAAGATTAAACCTACATAGAAAATACAATAAACTACCAATATTTGCTATATTTCATCCACATTGGTACAAAAGTGATACTGTATATTGGAATAATATTGAAAAAATAGGCATTGCCACTATGAACTTTAGAAAAATATGTTGGGCTGATATTAATCATATGTTTTGAACAAATATTTTTTTGATATAAAATTGAATTCTGTTACCAATATGGGCAACTGCTATTTTTTCATCATTTAGAGAACATAATTCTTCAAGATTGGCCCTATCTATAAAACAAATATTAAACCTAAATAGAAAATCATTAAAAATCTAATAAACTGCCGTTATTTACTATATCTCGCCCACATTGGAACCAAAATGCTAAATTATATTGGATCAATATTGTGAAAATAGGTGTTGCCAATATAAACGGTAGAACCATATGTTGGACTAATATAAGGGCAATATTATAAAGCAATATCTTTTAGTCATAACATGAAGTTCTTTTGCCAATATTGGCTGCAGGTCATTAATATTGGTCCAAGTTTCAAATATGGAACCAACATTTTGCCAAGCCACAGCCAAGATTCATTGCTACCTGGGTATTGTCACAATATTTATGCACTTTTTACAAACCTAACTAAAAAAAAATTCCTAATTTTAAGTTGCATACGGTGTATGTCGACATAGTGAAGTTTCCCCCAAAGGTACAGATATATTCTCCTGATGTTTTTATTTTTCAACGGTTTATTTATTGTTACCATCTGATTAAGATCCCATCACCGACGATATTAACCAGAATTAGTTCCCGATCGAATATTTTTTAATTTATTTTTTTAGGGTTTATACTTAGATAAAATATCTAAGGGTTTATACAAGGGTGGACTTTGAAATACTTTCTTAAGTGCATTATCGATAACTAACTTTCGTAAGCAATGTACATTTTTTATTTAATTTTTTAAATTTTTTTTTCATTAGTTCACTAAAGCAAAGGTATATTCAATTTTTATTTGGATTATTATTGGTTTTGAAATATTTTTTTGAATAGGTAAAAGTCAAATTTTTTTCTCCTATTTTTCATCCAACACGGTGATTTTACCGGTTGCTTTTAATTGTGATTTTTTTAACCGTGTGTCGGACCGCTATTGTTTCTTTTCAGCTTTAGGAAATTAAAATCCAGTATTGTTACCTTAGAATAATAGTCTGATAATGTGACCCTGGAATTTTTCGATACCTCAATCTAAAGCTGCCGAAGGATTATGGAGCAAATCTCGTTAACACAACTGGCGCTCGTGAAATTTCCGTACCGAAGGCGTCAAAAGGTAAGGATTAATTTGTTTAAGGCAAATATATAATAAAAATACAATATTTACTAAATGTATTTAATAATCTAAACATGTATATTATCAACAATAACAAAAAAAATGTATTTCAGAATTTTCTAATAAGTAACATAATGTACCTAACCAGGCAAACTATTCATTTTTTAGTATGCTTCTAATACCAATTAAACTTTTTAAGTTTTTTTTTATTAAAATAGGTATATAAAATTACTTCGCACTTAAATATGAGGTTAATACCACTCTTCAACCGAAAAATGTGTAGGTATATCATCGTCTGAGTTATAAACACAATTTTTTCAACGACCGTGTATAAAATTTAAAATAGAAAACAAATATATAGTTACCAATATAATTATTTTAACCAAAATACAATATTGGGGTGGGTTGGCTCAGTGGGTAGAATCGGGAGGTGTAAGGAATTTTTATTTAATTAAAAAAATTAAATAATAATTCTAATGCATACATAGGATTCCCCACTCGACCATTCACTGTTGGGTTCTAATTAACAGTGCTGTTCCTAAAGTGGCGCAGGAAAACAGTAACAAGGCATGTCTGTAGGGTTGCAGGATTATTAGAGTACTAGTACTCCTGGAGTATATTAGACCTAGTACAATCCATAACCTACATAGAACAATGACCTGTATTGTCGAAGCCAATCACCAATAAAAAAAAAATATTAGTAATATCAACATTGGCTTATATCAACATTTTTTATTTATTTTCGGTATTTGATTTAAATACTGCCGAGATCTCTTGTCCTTACGCCACTAGTGCGTAAAAGTTCAACTTTGTGTCATAAAAGTCGTGCAGGAAGGTAGCAGTAAAAAAATCATGTATTATTATAGTATATAGATTCACGAGCAAGGAATGGCACTCAATGAGCATTCCTTGCAAGTTGTACACTATACTTTTTCTATGGCTATAACATGCTGCTACCCGTTTTTGATTTTTATATTTTATAATATTAAAATAACAGGTTGTTAAAGTATGTTGCAATTAACTTTCATGCTATATAATTTTTGACTACAGTTGCTGGACTAGCAGGAATATTTATATTTGGGGTAGTTGATGAGTTTTTATAAGGTAAAGAAAGATCAAAGTCCACAATGATCAGTTTTGCCACATACCACAAATTGGTAGTAAAAGCTGTCACGTGAGCACTAACTCGTAGATGGTTGGTTGAAACTATCAGCGCGATAGGCCACCTGGCAGTAGAGTGGCGTAATCCAACTGAATCAGAATCTATTTCTCACCGCATCGAGATCAAGAGCAACGCCCGTCTACAACGATTTAAAATACCGGCGTACCTTCGCCTTGTTGGAAATTATTCTCTTTTTGTTTAAATGAAAGAGTACCTTCTAAAGGATGTGATGCATTTCCTCATTTAATTTTATTTAAACAAGCATAAAAAATGTAATAAGTGCAGTGATGTTAAGGTTTTCATACATTATTCAAAATTAAAAGAGTTTTTTAAGTGATATCGGTAATTTTATTCTGTACACACCTATAAAGGAAACCAGTACAGTTTCATGTTCATCAGTTGAAGTAATTTTTAAACAGAAAATATAACATAAAAAACATGAGGATATTTTTTTATGTAACTATAAAAATACATTAAATATATGGTCCGGAACTTGGTAAATTAATTACTCTCATACGTCAAATATATGTACTATTACTTAATGTTTAATTTTTTTAATTCTACCAACAGATGAAGACAATTAACAAAATGTAAACAACAAAAGCACAAAATAACTAGATTTTTTTTAATGTATGACATATCATGCCACATGATTTTATTAAAATAATTAGAGAATAACTGTATACTTTGTGTTATCAGATATGGATCTGATACGGAAATGATTACTTTGTGTTATGAGAATTATCAAATAAAGGAATGTAGTTTTGTATTATAGCCGCAGAAAATTTGTTTTCTAATATTTTCAACTTTCATTAGTTTCCCATCATAATTTTAAATTTGATCCTTATACAGATTCAGCTTGTTTTTCCTGAGTATTGCCCATTAATAGAAGGAACTGCGATAGCTTTATAAAAAGCGAGCACGCCTTAAATCCAATACTCTTTGCGTGTCGAAGTTGGCGGATGAGATCGGTCGGCTTCATGGGATTGCCAACGCCTTCTGCTTTCGTTCTCTTATTCTCGCTCCTTATAGTGACCTAAGAAAAATTTAAGCCGAACATGTATTTTTAATGTTTCATTCTTCGTCACTTGAAGAAAGATAAGCCAATTGTTCATTCCACCAGTCTTTGATCTCGTGCATAGTATTACTAGCCTTAGGTACAGTAGTTTTACTATTGAAAACCTCTCTGGGTAATCTATTCTCCGCTTCGGCTACGTGAGACAAATTTTTATTAACAACAACCGAAGGTCTGTTGGTTTTCTTTTTGGGTACTATTCTTTCTTTTTCTTGTCTAGCTGACGGGTCGGACAGCGTTGGCGCTAAAAATTTTCGGCCTGAAGTACTGCCTATGCTGTCCGATCTCGGTAAATTGGTAACTTTTTGTTTTCGAGTTTCGTTTTCCTTGTTTGCCTCGGCTTCGTTTTCTTGTTCGGGACTGCCCGTTTTGCTTTCTTCAGTCGGATCTGGCATTGATAGTGCTTCGTTTGTGGCCCTTAAGCCGGCTATTAAGCTGTTTTGTTGTTTCTGAAATGAAAACAAATAAAATAAATTGTAATGATAATAATAATAATAATTTTATTATTTACCAATAAATATAAAACTAGACTGAAGATATGTAATAATATATGATTGGCATTCTATATTATACTCTTCAAAGTTTAACAGACGACCCTTTACTCCCATTTTTAATCAGATTTTTTTCAGAATCAATCAGCTTCAATCCCTTATATAGCTTGATTTTTTATTATAAAAAACATACATTTTGTTAAAACGTGTTTGTGCTGTGCTTTTCTGCGTTTAAGTTAGGTGAAAATTTTTGAAAACGGTGAAACACTAATTATTTCTCGGTGCAGTTCTAATATAAATTTTCGTATTTCAATTATTTCTTTTTAGGCAATCTGATTCATAAATAAGTTGCATTTCTGGGCTTTTAAATCAAAAACATTTAACAAAAACTCCAAGCTGATAAGTGATAAGATAAGAATTGGTCAATATAAATAAAATCTTTATAGTCCAGGAGTTATACGCGAAAAAAAAGGTTAATAAGTGTGCAACCTGTAATGATTTAATAGGCGAAAAGACAATTTCTTGAGATAGTTGTCATGTTACAATGCATCCTAATGAAGAGTGCACTGGCCTGGGCGCATCTGGGCCCCGAGCGGCGGCGGTTATCCAGAAAAGAACGATGGTTTATTTTTGTGCGAATCGTCTTTGGCATTTAAGAGTGTACCTATGATCGTTAGAAAACCTTAAGTCAGAGGTGAAGACATTAAAAGAGCGAGAACTTTGTCATCACTGGACATCATTCGCGAATTGCATGAACGTGAGAAAAGGGCTAATAATCTTTTTATATTTAATTTACCGGAGTATGACTCCAATTCAATCGATTCAAAAAGGGTTAATAACTTAAACAAGCTGTAGAAGAACCAGTTTAATATATAAGTTGCAAAAATCTTTCGATTTGGCAAGAAGAATAAAAATGGAAACCGTCCTATTAAGGTTATATTAAGAAGCGCTCACAATGTTCAAAAAATATATAAAAATAAGCGTAATATTGTCGACAAAAAATGTTCATTCACTTGGACCAAACTCCTAAACAGAGGGATGTTCTAGAAAATGTAAGAAGTGAACTTTCCGGGCGTCTAAACAACGGTGAACAGAATCTCACAATAAAATATTTTAACAATGTTCCTAAGACCGTACAAAAAAACTAATATAAAGCCCATTGACTCGGACAAACTCTCTTTGTACTACCAGAATGTTAGAGTATTGCACACCAAATTATCTAAACTTTGCCTTAATATCTCAAATTATTCCTATTATATATTTATTTTCATTGAAACTTGGTTATTTGCTCATTTTGCGGATGCTGAACTAGGTCTTTATAACTAAAAAATCTACAGACAAGAGCGCACAGCCGAGTCGAGTTTCGCGCAGTAAAGAAAATGTTTTCTAGTTGCCTTATTCCATCTAACTCAGCAATTGAACAATTATTTGTCTCCATTGGAAACAATAAATTTATATTGGGTACAATATATCTACCGCTAACTCTCATCCCAATTCATATCATATGCACTCTGTTCAAGTTGAAACATTAAAAGATCACCTCTTAAAATTTTTCTTTTTGAAGATTACAATCTCCCTAATGCTGTATGGAATATTGCTCGGAATATTGAGGACTTTTTTCCACAGCTTCATCTGATTTCTTATCACTGAAGCAATAGATACTATTTCAAACCTTTGTTCTTCTCAAAACCTCTTCCAATCAAACAATTGTTAACGAAAGGAGAATTATTCTTGATCTTGTTTTTTTCCCAATTTGAACTTACTGTTTGCAAGACTATCGATGTTCTGATCCCACCTGATGCTCACCACCCGCCGCTTGAAATGACTCTTCAATACAAGACAAATATCGTCACTACTACGCACGATAAAGAACATTATTACGACTTCCGTAATACCAATTTTACTCCTATACGATAGTATTTTGAAGCCTTTGACTGGGACACACTCCTTCGTAATAAAGAATTTTTTAATATAGTAAATACTTTCTATGATGCACTGTATTCAGCAATGGAATTATTTGTTCCACTTAAAAAAATATCAATAAAAAATTTTACATGCTGGTATCCACCGCATCTTAGAAATTTGATTTATGATAAGAAGATTGCTAATATTTTTAAAAGTACGAAATCTCCTGAAAGTTATGCCTTATTTAGTAGTCTAAGAGCTCGCTGTAAACTTTTGTCCAAAGAGTGTTATTTAAATTATGTAAACTCTATTCAAACCTCTGTTAAAAGTAATATTAAGGCATTCTGGAATTTTGTTAACAGCAAAAAAGAGAATATGCGCTAGTTCAGTGATGATGTAATTATGGTTCTACTGACAATTAAAGTGACAGTAGATTTTTTGAGTGCGTTTTGTTCGTTTTGTTTACCTAAATTATATCGTTTTTTTCACTTTTATAAATATATTCCTAAAGTAAGTAGATAGCATGTATCAAATATACAATCGTTTAGTTACCAATTACATACCTTTAAACTATTTTTTATGACCTGTAAACTATATTTTGAAATAAAATAAAAACAGTAAGAACGTATATGTCACATTTATTGATGTTTTTATTAAAGTTTGGTTAGAATTAAATGTCAGTGGAACCAAAATGACATCACACTGAACTAGCGCATTGTTATTCCAGATAAAATGAATTTAGATGGATTTGAAACTTCCTTGGGCTCGGAAATAGCTAACTTATTTGCCAACTATTTTTCTTCAGCCTACACCAACCAGATTATCGATCTGTATGAATGTAACATTGAATCGAAACTTAATGTATGCTCGTATCATATTCCAATTTCAACTATTTACGAGAAGTTAGCTTAATTGATACAATAAAGGGACCAGTTTCTGATGCAAATCCCCCCCTCACTCCTGAAAAACTGCAGCTTTATATTGTCTCCTCCTCTGTTTTTTTATTTTTAACAAATCATTGAATACGGGAGATTTTCCGGATTACTGGAAATTCTCATATGCGACACCAATATACAAGTCTGGTAAAAAATGTGACATTAAAAACTACCGTCCCAAAACTCTTTGAAAGCATCATAACGGACTACTTAACTTATCTTGACAGCTGTGATGCTCGTCTAATTTAAATTAGATATAATATAATACTTCTTTTTAATAAATGACTGAAGTTATTTGTACGTAGTTTGTTGTTTTTTGTTTTATTATCCAAGTTAACTTGACTTTGAATATTAACTCTTTTTTATGATTAACGTAGATCTAGGCAACACATTATACACTGTTTACGACAATTTTTTAGTTTTTATATCTATTTTTTACAATAATCTGATCATAGAAAAAATCTTGTTTGCATTTTGAGCGAAAAGTTCGTTGCCGCTTTCAGCAGATTGCCGCACTCCGCTACGCGTCGCTCGCCATATTTCTGTCTCAACCGGCAAAGTATCGCTTTTCGCTCTTAATACACAAGTAGCTATATTATGTCTAGACATTAAACAATATGTATTATCCCAATAAAAACCAAATAAGTTAACCTAAGGGTTCTTTTTTTCTACTTACATTTGTAGAACGAATTTTCTTAAGACACCCCTCCAACCACGTCCTTATAGTTTGTTTCGCAACTTCTTCCTCTATAATATATTCAAACTCTTCCCTAGCCAATAATTCTTCCAGTTGTAGAGCTTTCCTGATGTCTACTGATCGATAGGACAACATACTAAAATATGAAATATTTTACAAACAAAAAACCAGTAATTTAAAAAAAAACTATGAAAAGAAAAATTTACTTTATAACATCGTGGAAAGTTACATCTTCACCATTGTGAAGTCTTTCTAATTCGTAACACATATGTTTGAATAGAAGACGATCTTTTTGAGGATCCACTTCTAAACGTCCTTTTAAAAGTCTCAGGATAAATTTAACCTTAAACGAATAAAAATTAAACATGGTATACAACAAAAGCAACAAAAATATCTTAGTTACCCTGCGTACTGGTATAACCCCTCTTTGGTGGATGTCAACAACATTCCAGGTATTTTGAAAATTCCTAATGTCAGCATATGATAAAAGAGCATCTTCCTCATTGGAGTAAAATAGAGAAAAGTTCTCCATGATAATAGCTGCAACACATCAAAATGGTAAATTTTTTATTATCAACAAAAAACTTTTTTAATTAAATTAACAAGCTGTTCTTCTAAGGAAGCAGTTTTTCATTCTTTTAAAATTAATTTAATTATCCTAATGCAAAATATTCGATCCACATTGTCAGCCAAATTCGGTATGTCAGCCAAACTCGTTGATCATGCTTTAAAGGCTTGATTAAGCATTAGTGTGAAAATATACTATTATCGCTTAACTCTGCTTTAATAATTTACATACATACTTTCGAGCAGAGCGAGTTCGAAATTTTGCCAAGGCCTGTAAAGGGCCAGAGCCGGCCTACGAAATGTATATCATGTTTGTTTATTTTTTTAAATATGTGCTCATAGGAAAAAACAATTAGCCAAATTTGAATTTTTGGCCCAATAGAGCTTGATTCTATATTTATTATATCATTTCGAAAAAAAATATACATTGTATGGATAATACAAAGAATAACTAGGTAATAAAATACAAAATAGATGAAGGTATAATAGATAAAGGACGATTGTGCTTACCCACTAGCAAATTCAGCACAATGTATGTGATAATGACGTAGAATGTGCAGAAATATATTAAAGATCCATAGAAATTTCCGCAATCAGTTTGCCAGTAGTTAGCAGCTGGGGTACAAAATGGAGGTTGTATCATACAATCGTGCATAATCTTATTCCAGTCTTCTCCTGTTACTATTCTGAATAACATGGCGACTCCAGTTACAGGAGATTCAAAATTTGCTCTCCTAAAAGTTAACAAACAAGGATAGTACTTTCCATATTAGAGAAAGGTACATATTTAAATTTGCATACCTTCCTATACCTTCTCCATATTTTACGGTGCCAAATATTATGGTTCCTGCAAGAGCGTAAAAGAACACCAACAAGAACATTCCAAATATGATAAAAAAACTTTTACAAACTGACACTCCTACTGTTAGCATTAACATCTTAAGAGTTGCATGTTTTCCGGTTATAGTAAAAAACCGCAGAATAACTACCATGAATCCAACAAAGTACGTTAAATCATTCTGAAAAAGAAAAGATGCATTGTACGATAAGAAATAATTAGTAATTTGCGACTAGTCTGGTCCTGCTATGATCCCTTAAGTCCCTATCTTCCTTATTTGAGCCTTTACGGCCACCAGTCGTTACTAAGAATATTCGATCAAATAAATAATCTTTGGAACCCCCATGATACGGCAATGTCACCGCCAGACGAAGTGAATCTTTATTCTAGAATGTACTAAATCCGTCGATGAATAATCTAGAGATAACAATTGAGGAGCGATCAGCCAAAACCAGATAAATCAATTTTATAAAGTTTTGAGATAATTGCAAAAAACCGTCCATTAGGGCGTCCGTAACTTTAACCAAAAAAATAAATGGTGTATCTGAAATATGATGATATAGACCTCGTAAATACTGTTTTCGTTTCTTTTTTTGATGATTAACATAGTAATTATTGCAAATTACAAAATGGATTTATCTGTTTTTGCTTGAGTTAACTAATTTTATAATGTAAAAAGTGTTTATTTTAATATAAATATGTTTAATACCAAATCTTTTACGTTAATCAGGCAATTTTTTTAAATTTTTTTTATTTTAATTTTTTTTTATTTTTTTTATTATTATCTAAGTATAATAATATGTTTTTAAAACTTTGTTGTACTTTTGAAATAAAGCAAAGATGTATTTTCAAACGTTTATTATATTTTAAATTCAAACAAAAATTAAAAAAGTTAAAAAAATAATAAACGATTTAAATGTGCATTCCTAGGTCATCCTAGAGGCAATCGCAAAGTTCGTTCTCATTTTGTTCTTGAACTTCGACGGCACCAGCTTCAAGTGGAGCTTCACGCAATATATTTTTGTGCCACGCTAGATTCTCATCATTTTCCCAGGTTGTACCAAACTGTTGAGCCATCAGATGAGCTAGGGATTTTTTCTTTTTCTCGGGAAGAGATCGCGTTAAAGAAATTTCTTCTAATACTGTTGGAACTTCTTTTCGTGCATTAAGAATCTGTTGGGGCACTTCATTTAAAATTGCCATTCTAAAATTCCGATGACGTTGTACTTTCACGATATCTTGTCCTATTTTATCACGGGATTTCTTGATAAGGATTCGCTTGTAGTCGGAAATACCTACAATTTTCTTAAGACAATCTTGCAGATTTTTAATGTCGTAAAGATTCCAGTCAATGCCAAGTTCTTTCACTGTTCCAAACTCAGAATATTTTTCAAAGTATTCGTCCTTGCTTAATATTGTTGGGTTTTTTCTTAAACATTTTTCCACACGGCCAAAAACCCTATCTGCCGGAAGGAAGCTATGTCCTCGAACTGGGAAAGTCAACTGGATTTCTTTTAAAGTGCCGGGGGGCCTATTTTTGAGCCAAAAATAAAGAGCATGTACAATATGCGAGTTTTTGTTCTGGCCCCCACAACCATCACAAAATATTTTTAATACTTCAATGTCTTCGAGTTCCAGTGAATCCAAATAATTTAATAGAGCTGAACCTATCTGAACTAACCCACGACCAGCTTGTATCTCAGTCCAGATGTAAAAGGTAGGGTGCCTTGAGTTCATGTCGACGCAACAAAATAAAATAAAAGGCATCTGAAATGGGAGTGCGAGGCAATGGCTGCACATGCTGCATATCAAAGCAAAAACTTATTGAATTTCTTTTGAAAGTTTGTAGAAAGCGTCTGCCCTCTTTCTATGTATTCGACGTTCAATTATCAGGTCAGATTTTTTTTTGGGATCTTTTTCTTTTCTTGTATTGTCCTTAAGACGTATGCATAGAGCACAATAGTCTGCTGCAGGTGATGAAAAACCTATATTAAATTCTCCACAAAAAATTATATAAAACATGGATGAACTTGATTTATATTGTGCAGGTTGCTGTGAGTTAAAAATCTTATGCAATTTGGCAATACTCAAATTAGCTTGCAAATATATTCTCACAGACTTCTTTCTGTTGTAATGGCTTTCGGTACCCCTTAAATTTCCAATAACCTCTATTATTTTATTTTTTTTATCTTTTGTTTTTCTGGAAACATGATCGCTCCCACGAGTTTCCTTTGGCACTCCTCCATCGTGAATACCTTTTGCAACGGTATTGACTCGATTTTCTGATATTCCCAAACTTTTAGTAAAAAAGCTTGACAAACTCTTATGGATTTCTTTTGAGTTCTTGATTGAAGATAATAAGTAATATTAAGGAGGCGTTTTTTTGGACTTACTTTGTTGGAGCGTTTCCTTACTTTTTCACAAACACCCAGCATGTGACATAACTTAATATCCTGCGTAAGTTTATCAGGAGCAGCATAGAGCTTTCGTCGAATAAGTCTAATATCAGCCAAGGCAACAGTACTGCACTTATAACTAGCAGTGTTATGATTGCATGGTGTCGTAAACCTTAATAGTCTAGGATCCTTATCAACATACTTTTGTTGCTTGTTTAATCTTCGTTTCTCGGGAGTTTTGGGCTTTTAACGCGGCTGCCAGTATTTCCTAAAAAAGGCGTACTTGTAAAAATAAAATAAGCAATTTAATAGAAATTTATTTACCTTCTCGAACAGATATATCAATGTCTCGGTCGTGCTCGTCTATCCTCTATTACTAAAAACCAAAAATATTGCCGAATTAACGAAGAAACTTGTCAGAAACCTACTCATACAGCGTATATTCGCGGAAGTGCACTGGTTTCCGTATCGCACAACGCTGACAACGATTACAATAACAGAACTAAACTAAATAATATTATTTTTCTATAACCGCCCGATATTCGTACGCGACATTGGCGTAGGAAAGAGCCGAAAAAACGCTTTCGCAAACGGATTTATCCCTTTTTGTTCGAAACAGACCAATGCCATTTAATTTTCGGGATTTATCTGGTTTTGCTTGAATTGTTCGACTTTGAGGTCGATTTTGAATGGGATTTAACGAGTTTTGGTTAAAACTGATTACGCCATCGGATTTATCTCACCAAAAGAAATAGGGATCAATCATAAAATCATTTTTGCCCAAAAGTGGATTTATCTGGTTTTGGCTGATCGCTCCTCAATTTTGGTAGATGCATTGCCGTAGCACGTTATGGTGGAGGTGCCAATTTAAGTTTGTTCAAGTTAAGATTTCGTTCTGTTCACACAAATATTGTTATTGTAAATTAGTGTATAAGTAAATTATATATAAATTAGGGTCGATCTTTTCGCCTGACCCTTAGTGTTGTATTTAGTACAAATAAATAGAGTTATGAGATAAATAAGTGGTTTAGTGAAAATAAAGTAAACAAAAAATATAAAAAAATAAACGTTACAATAATTTATAGTTCCCATAAAATTCATTTTTTGACGAAACAAAATACCTTTTATGTAAACATTATTTACCTTAAACATGCAATGGAAAAACATCCAAATAACTCCCATGACGGTTACAAAGAGGTCGTATCTGTTTCTTCTTGATTGCAAATACCCTCTAGGAGTAAATGCGATATTTTTCATTACCACTTCTACCACGAAAACTAAAGTACTGATTATATGCACCGTGGCTAAAATTTCTGTATGTGCTTCTTCCTTATTCCACTGCAAAAGAAAACGATAATGTACTTTTTCTACGATCACTATCCAAAGTAGGCTTTTGCAAATTCAAATCTAACTAGAAAGTTGACGTTTTCCGCATAATTTTGACAATATTGGCATACATGTGCGCCAAAGTAACTTTGGCACAAGCTTGTCTATTTTCATTAAAATTAAATAAAAGAAAGCTAATAGGTATTTTAAAACAAAATGTAGGCTAATCTAAAATATTTTCATTAATTTCCTAATATTTTAAATAATCTAACAGTAATTTCCGTAAATAATTAAATAATTAAGTCATAAATAATTATCGATACATATGTACTAAAACATTTTTCTCTTTGAAGAGTAGGTATATTTCAAATAAATATTATAACGAAAGAAGGTAATCCATTTCTAATAAAATTAAATATTTATTTTATTTTGGTGTGATCATAGAAAAAATCTTGTGTGTAATTCGAGTAGAAAGTCCTTTGGCAAATATAATTGATCTCACTCTGCACTATATATAAATGATGAATAATTATATTTATGTATTTAAAGGGCTGATGCATCATGAATAATTTCATGAACGATTAGTGTAGAAGAAAAGACGTGGATTTGCAAACATATACAGATTCAGCTTAAATTTTTCTTGGGTATAGCGCAAAACTATAATGAGCAACAGAAAGAAGACTATTCATATAAAGTGAGAATAAGATAGAGAAAGTAGAAGAAGGACTATTCTACGCGATGCTGACCGATCTCATCCGTTGACTCAAGACACAAACAAATTCAGCCTAGATCAGTAGATCACACCAGCGAGTGAAGGTAATACCACCTGTGGTAATACAATAGATTCTGGTTTTCATTTTAATAAAACTATGCAGACCGTTGTTTATACCACTGGTGAAAAAATACAAATAGTAAAGTGGTTCTATAGCCATTCCGTTCAAGATATAAATTTATTTGCAGTTGCATTTGAAAATAGACCCATATAATCATAGAAATCATATAATGCAGTTCGTGAAATTATATATTAATAATTTTGGCTCAGTTAATCACTGCAAAATTGTTGTCCCTCTAGGCAACCACGTCGAAATTAATTGACGGAAAAATGAGAAAGCAGGCAAGTCTGTGCAGTAGCTGAAGCTACATTATCTTCAAATAGACAAATTGCCGCTGAAGTTGGCTTGAAGGAGAGACGGGTATGAAATATTTTAAAAAGAAACGGGTATTCCTGTTTTAAAGTACAGACCACTCAAGACATTATCGTAAAATACTTTTGCAACTGCTGCAGTTAGGTGTACATTATTAAACATAACTAAAATCAATTTCAAATTCATACTGGGCGTGCTGGGAGGAACGACTCCACTCTAATCAATTCATCATATTATAGTGGAATATAACGCGTGCTCAATTTTTATAAAGCTATCGCAGTTCCTCCTGTTAATTCGCAATACCCAAGTAAATTTAAGCCGAATCTGTATAATTAATTTTTTTAACTTTAAACTGGAAACATGATCTGTGTCATTAATTATTTTAGTAACATTAAAATTTGAGATGTACAACTGTATACTATTCTATTGATCTGAGATGATTTGTTTTAATACATACCTACAACTAAAGGCTGTATGTCACGATACTAAATTAAGTACTAAATTTAGAACTAAATTAATGCATTTTTTAAGTACTAAAAAAATTCACGTTGCAAACAGCAAATTTAGTACTAAATTTAGTGCTAAAAAAAGTCATTAATTAAGTACTAAAAGTGCGCCGAAATGTTGCGCAGAAGTTTTTCATAGAAAAAGTTGACACGACGGTATTTTCTGTACCCTTTTATTTTTAATTAGCGACAATTTCACATTATCGCCTTGAATAAAGTTCGCCTGTTTGATTTTGTAGGTTTTATTGTGTTTTTCCGTGGTTTTTATGCTGTATTTGGTTGTCAAGTCAACTAGTATCAAATTGATAATAAAAACACCATTTACTTCACTTGTCTGTTTTACACAGAATATTTCATTTCTCTACTAATTTCACGTATTAATACGTCAATGCGCGTGCGCCCATAGTAAATTTAGTACTAAAAATTGGTATCGTTGCAAACGGAAAAAAAATATTTTCAGTTCTAAATTTAGTACTAAATTAATGACTTAATTTAGTGCTAAATTTAGTACTTAATTTAGTATCGTGACATACAGCCTTAATGCCGCGTTTGAGAATCCACGTCGGATGCATCTGAGATGTTGTGAATTTTTAATCACGTGATAGAGAATTAGATCTGAATGTAGATGTAATAAAAAAACGCTCTAGACCTCATTTGGTCACGTGATAAAATGTCAATGATAAGTTAGAAGTTTATAGTTTTTAAATTTGAATTTTGAGACTAAAAATCAACCTAAATTTGAAATCTAAAAATTTAAACAGACTAATCACTTTTATATTCATGTCAGCGCAAACAAAGGATACATTGACAAACTTGGCTTCAGAGAACATTTACTTTTTGGCATGGAACGAACATCTCATTTGAAATCGAGATGTAAACAATGTAATCTGAACAGGTACATCTGAGATAAACAAACGCAGATGTAGATGTAGTAGATGTATCCGATGTGGATAAAAAAACGCTCGAGATGTAAAAAATGCGTCCGATGTGGATTCTCAAACGCGGCATAAATATGTGAAAAACAAGATGTGTGATGTACTTAAAACGCTCGATATTATGTGTGTGCCCGACGGTTAAATTAGAGAAGCGCTTAATTAGCTAAAGTGTTCAATTAAGAGTGTGTCCGTCCAAGCGAGACACAAGTAGCATTTTGGCGATGATAAGCACAAACCAAATAATACAGCAAAAATAACGTGTTCTAGGTGTTGAAATTAGTTATTTATGAAACGAAGTTCTCTAAACCACCGAACAACCGTTATAAAAACGTTTAAGTGACAACTTTAATTTTGTTAAACGTTTTCCCGATGGAGAATCTAACTTGTAATATTTAACCAAGCAAAGAGCAATTTTTCAGATGTATTAAAGACATTTTTGCGGAGTTATCTTTGCAAATAACCTTTTTTGCCGGCGATATTTAGATAATATACCTAATTTGCCTATTTTTTATTTTTGTGACAACCAGCACATACTGGAAAAGAAGAACTTGAATGATTCTAACCTACAAAACAATGAGAAGTTCTAAATTAATTAACGATATAATTAATCTCCAGACTATTATTTACAAACGAAAAGCTTCGAGAGAGTATATAAATAAAATATAAATTAAATAAACAAACTACAAATTAAACCCGCAATTTTTTGGTTCGGTTTCCAAGTGGTTCGGATTGGGTGTAGCCAATATTTCCAAATCGGTGGACTAAAAATATGTTCTTTTAACATTTGCAAAAGTGATCAGATAATTTACCTGAATTTGAGCATTCAAAACTGGATTCGAATTTCAGTAAATAATAAAATGAAAAAATTAAAGTCAGTGAGAGTACAAATGATTTCTCCACAGTTTTTTCCTCTGAGAACTCCGGTTTTTTAAAAAATTGGCCGGTTGACAAGCCTCCTTATTTCGACAGCAATTCTATAATCGATCTAGGTTCTATATGCGAAGTAGCCACCACCTTAAGAAGCTATCATAATTGGTGCGAGACGGCCTTACCCAACATTGATTTTTACTTTTTTGTTACTATGGTTTTCCGATTATTGCACCCCGCTCAAATGCGCCTCGACAAAAGCGCCTCGTCAAATGTGCCATGACAAATGCGCCTCTCGACAAATGAGCTTCCCGACATATTCGCCCCGACATTTTTTAATTTTTATTCTTTTTTTAGTTGATTACTGGCAGATTTTTTTAGTTTTTTAATTATTTGTTTTTCCTCTTGGGGTGTGGGAATGGATTGCATTATTTCGTAGGAGACTGTTGATTTGATGTCCCGTCAGTGCCTAATTGATCGATAGCTGTTTTATTATTAATGAGACGAGGACATTTTTAATAAAAAAGTTGTACGACCATATTTTATAATTATTCATAATTATACAGGGTGGTCCATAAATGAGGGGTGAACCAAACGTATGCTTTTTTAACCCAAACACCCTGTAGATAGTTACAGATAACAGATTTAATTGTTTTCATATCGTTAAACAATGTTTGCATTTTCATTCATTTGCTATGATGTATACTGTTATTATCTACCTCACCCAGGTACCTTCATAATTTATTAATTCCATTTTATTAAAGAAAATATTGCATTCTTAATAAATTCAAAATCCTTCATTTAACGAAAAATCTCCCAGATAATTAAATCTTATTTATGACACCTAATAATAATATCTGTAACCCTGCCCGTAAGAGATCCAACTTCTTACAAGTGTCTGGGAACCCAACCCGAAACCACCATACAATATAAGTTTTGTCACGAAGTAATAAACAATGAAACACTTTACGTACTTTTAACTTAAGTTTGAATAGTAACCTTATTATCGATACACAAATTTTCAAGGCAAGTAATAAATCTAACACCCCTTTTCTATCCACCCAAATTCGTTCCCACCAGAATTACGATAAGTTGACGTCACAAACAGTCATTAAATCGGGTATAAAGACCCGAACCCGAGAGACTCGAGATTCATTAGGAAATAGATTAAGATTCTTTAAGAAATCAAATTCAGTTCAGTTAATTTCAAACCCCAGCATTCATTACTGTGAAATCTAGTATTCAGTTCAGTATTCAGTACCTTTCCTAAACCCATGCAGTTCATATCCTACCTCCTATAGGCGTTCTACATCCCGACCACCTATCTCCCGAACGTTGTTACGTCTCGACGCTCAATGCCCCGACATCATCTCTTTTAACCGACGCTCTACGTACCGATGCCCTATATTTCATTTGACGCTCTACTTCCCTACCTTTCTACGCCACGACGCTCTTATACGACGCTCTACGTCCCGTCCCCATCTCTACGACCCGTCCCCATCTCTACGACCCGCTGCTATACATTTCGACCTTCAATGTCCCGGTGCTCTACGTGTTCA